GGATTTTCTATAATTTAGCTTTTTTTTATATAATTTTTAAAATTTTAAATAAAATAAAAAATAAAATTATTAATAAAGGATATTTTAAGTTATAAAATTTATATTTTGTTTATTTAAATTAAGTTTATAAATTTAGCTTTTTTCAAATTAATTTGAAAATATCTAATAAATTGTATAATTATTGCATTTTAATATATTTCCTATTATTTATATTTTATTTAATTTATTTTGAATTAATTTGAAATATCCCAAAATATTTCAAATAGTATCTGATAAATTTAAATTGATTAGCTTTTCTTACTCATTAGTAGCTATCTTTTAGTTTATAAATATTTTACTGTTTTGATATATTTATATCTATTCGAATTGTTTCAAACTAATTTGAAATATTGTGCAATATTTAGCATAATATTGTGCTATAGTTTTGTAATTTTGCGTAATATATTTTGTAATATTACGTTATATATTGCACAATATTTCACAATTTATTGCGCAATATTATGCCCAGACCATAATTATTGTACATTATTTTGGGGCATAATAACTTACGTAAGATTACATTAATATATTTTGCTAATATATAAGTTATTTTAAGTGAAGTTTGCCCTAATAAGCTATTTTGCTTCTCTGTTTTTGTTAATTCAACTGTAGTGCTCTTAGAAGAAATTTGGGGCTAGGGCTCCTTGTTTTCTTTTACTCTTTGTAATCTATTTAAGATTTGCTCCAGTATACTATTTTGTGCTTCATAGCTAACTATAGAATTACTTCTTGGTTTTTTGTAATCTACACTATGTGATCTAGCCTTTTTTATAAGGTTTTTATCATGAGGTATTTTATTTTTTGTTCTTCTTAATTTTCTCTTTTTCTGCTTATTTCTATTTTATTCAAACTAGTTGAAAATTGTTTTCTAGATTTCTGAGAAATTAAAGTTCAATTAATTTCCTATATATTGCAAATAATATAAACTTATAATAATATATTAAATATATAAAAGAATTTTAAAATTAAGATAAAGATTTCTTTACATCAGAATATGCTGATACACATCTTGGCTTTACCTTTTGTATATTTATATCCTTTTATAATATAAATTAAATATTGATATAATAAAGGTAGAAAAACAATATATTATTTTTTTACCTTTTGTATATCTTCATCCTTCTAGAATGTTATTAGCATGTAAGATGAATATTGAGATAGTAAAAGAAGAAAAAAAGTATATACCGTAGAGTACTGCATATAGTATCTGGTATGACGCGATTTTTTACATAGTGAAAAATTAAAAATTATGTGAGTTATACAATTGTTTATATCACATGGCATACATAAATAATATTTTAAAAAATTGATCTATATTATTTGTCACGCCGGGTACTGTATGCAGTGCTCTACAGTATTTATTTTTTTTTTTGTATACTGTAACGATTAGAAATGGATCGATAATGCATTAGGTGCAAATTAGTAGATCAATTGCATAATTTTTTATATTACATATTTAGTATAACTTGCAGATACAGTAGATTTAGCAAAAGTATTATATCAAATAGATTTAGCATAAATATCAGAATCAAGCGAAATAGCATAACTAGCATATATAGAATAACTAGCATAATTAGCATATATAGTATAATAAATAGATATGTAATTATTATATAAGTGTGAGTATTTATTAAGTTGTAAGATGTCTCACAAATATTATAATTAATAAACTATATCTATTTGGCTCTGCCAAATCGAACGTCCTTTTTCAAGATATTATAGTAACATCATTGAATATTATGCAAATCTATACCAGGTTTATCCTAACAAGTAGAGATTTTTAGATATATATTTTTTCCCGCATCATAATACTTATATCCTACTATAATACTATAAACATGTAAGTTAAATATCAGGATAATAAAAGAAGAAAAAAATATATATTTTTTATACTTTTTGTATATCTGTATCTTAGTATTATGTTACTAACATATAAGATAAATATTAGAATAGTATTAGGAAATAAAAGGTATACCATTATGTATCCAAAATCTATCTTTATTTTACTCTAATACTGATATCTGTTAGTTTACCATTATTCTTTTCTGAAATGTATATTGGATAAATAACAGTTTAATAAAAATATATCCTATTATTTAATCTGTATTCATGTATTTGACTTGTAAAAGGCAATGTGGATAGCAAGTTATATTAGCAGATACTTCATGAGCATTTTTGAATACAGTTAGGGATTATGAGTTTAATCTTTACAATGTTATTTTCCAGCAAGACAATGATCTTAAACATATGGTGAAGTTGATAATACATTAGTTAAAGAATAATCAGGTTAGGGCCTCCCAGTCCCTAATCTCAACCTTATTGAATATTTGTGAAATGAGGTTAACTGTTAACTTAAAAACCTCCCTGGACAAATTTCAGGTAAAGAAGACTTGTGAAACAAGATCCAAGTGGTTTGGGAACAAATTGGTGTTGAGACCTGTGCTGACCTGATTTGATCCATGCCCAAACATATTCATGATGTTATCAAGGCTCATGGTGGATACACCAGGTGGTAGAGGTAGAGGCCAAAAGGATTAGAATAGAAAAAAAAATTTTTTTTATATTTCAATATTGTGTTGCATTACATACGATCAAAAGTAATGCAACACGTAAAATGAAATAAAATTTGTATTAATGAAAATTTAGGATCATTTAAATTTTTTTGAATTTTTAATACATGAAATCTATAGTAATCACAAATAAATTAAAAAAAAAGGATAGGACCAGAATTGCTCAAAATAACATGATCTAAGTAAAATTTTTTTTTGCTCCATTACTTATGATCGCCACTGTAAATTCCAGCCAACATTTTCTAAAAACGGGGTTAGACGTTTATGTATCGGGGGGAATTAGAAACGACATACTTATGTGATTAATATTTGAACTCTATCGCTATCGAGTTCAATTCATTAAATCTATGATATTATATTTACTCGTTTCGACAATTTACTAAGTTGATAAAGTTGATAAATCTGTTAAATCTATGTAATCGAACCAACGTTAAACTTTTATGGATAGATTCGATCTGAGCCACCTCGGCATCGATTTACCGTTTCACAACATACCCCAATAGATTAAGAAATTACCAGGTTTACTAAAAAAAATTTTTCCTCGCAGAAGACAGTAAACATAAAGTGAATAACAATGGACAAATGCAAATTATGCTGTCGACATTACATAATAGGGGGTTTCAAGTTAACAAATAAGTGACGCATTTCGAAAATAAATAGGATTTTTTCAATAGTATTTTTACTATGTTGAATTATAAATCGGAAAAATAAAATGAGATTCTCTGAAACCCCCTAATGTGTCAATTTTACATTATTATTGTTTGTAGGCGTACTATACAGTATATTATTCGCTAATTACAGTAACATACGATGTAAGCTAAATGACTCAGAGATAAAATAAATAGTCAAATTAAGAGTTGATAAGCAAATTTGGAACTTTACATATATATGTATGTACATAACAAATAATCATTCGATTTGATTTATGGTAAGGTGATTTCTATTTCGTGACACAGATTGAAGGGAAAACATACATATAAAAGAGCATATTCTTGACCATGGTTTATTCAATTTATTAATAACAAATAAATGGCATCAAGACTTTTAACTGAAGGAATAAAATCTCGAGTTCGTCGTCCAAGTTTATTATCAAAATTAACAACCATAAATGACGTTATCGAAAGTGGATTTTTTAAGGATGGAATGCGAATGGGATGGGTGAATAAATATAATAATAATTACGCAAAATTTTTATTACATTATAAAATTTTGATTTTAAGCCAAATTATTTCGATAGTCTGGGTTTACGGGTGTAGGTTATCCTAAAATTACACCAAATGCTCTTGCAGATTATGTAGAAAAAAATAATCTTCAAGGAAAATTAAAATTTGATCTATATGTGGGTGCCAGTACCTCTGCTGAGGTTGAAGATAGGTACGTACGTATGCTTATAAAATCGTATGATTTATGCCATTCATTTCCTATTTGGTATTTATACATTTTACTGTAAAATATGACATGTGACCTTCATGTCATTCTTAAAATCGTAAGATGGGCGAAGGTGAATAATTCCTCCTTATCTGTTATTATATTTTTCATATAAATTATACAGTATTAAAAAGGTTTGTCATGTTTTGCATTAGAATGGAATGATCGCACGTCGTTATCCATATCAGCTTGGAAGAGTTCTTCGAAATGAAATTAATAAAAATCATATCAAATTTGCGGATAAACATCTTTCTGAATTTCCTTTGGTACATAAATTTCAAAATTAGTCTTTTTCCTTATCTATTATTAGCATTATTTATGAAATTTTATACTTTTAAATACAAGGATTTATTGTCTGGTTATTATACTCTCGAAAAAAAGGTTTATTCACAGCTTCTTATAATAATAATAATTTTTATTTATAATTTCTTTGATCTTTACTAAAATTTTATGTTCAATTTTAATAGGGTAATGTTATGGAAAAGTTAGATGTAGCAATAGTCGAAGCAACTGCTATTACTGAAAGAGGAAATATTATTCCTGGAGCTTCTGTTGGTGCTACTCCCGAAATTGTTCAATCCGCTTCTAAAATTATCATCGAAGTTAATACTGAATTACCAAATTTTGAAGGATTACATGATATTACATTAGGCAAATTTGCTCCATATAAATTTCCAAATTTAATTCAAAGAGTTGATGACCGAATCGGAACGGTATATATTTATTTCTTTTATTTCCTCCAAAATCTATATATTTAAATATGCATTTCTTCTTTCCTATAAAGACTTATATTCCATGTGATTCCGAGAAAGTTATTGCTGTCATTGAATCGAAAATTCCTGATCATACATCAGATAGTGAACCTCAGGTAAAAATTTTTTATTTCATAATCTTATTCAATCATTATTCTAATTTTTCTAATTTACATGGGTCTAGGATGATACGTCTCACAAGATTGCCAACCTTATTCTTGAATTATTTGAGCACGAAGTTACTATGGGACGATTACCACCGCAACTTCTCCCTTTGCAATCTGGTGTTGGAAATATTGCCAATGCTATCATTGGAGGTCTTGCTGATGGGCCTTTCACTGATGTTGAAGTATGGACTGAAGTTATTCAAGGTTTTTATTTTAAGTCATTCTTATATTACTAGAATTCTTTTTTTCTTTTTTTTATTTGCTTATGATTACTCAAACAAAATATTAAAATCATTTCAAATAGACACATTTCTTGATTTCTGGGAACATCATAAACTAGCTTTCGCTTCAGCCACAAGTGTGGGATTTTCACCAGCTGGATTTAAAAGATTTTACGAAATGTGGAATGAATTAAAAGATCGGTTAGTTCTTAGAGGTCAAAGTGTTAGTAATTCACCTGAAATAATTAGAAGATTGGGTGTTATTGCTATGAATACTCCTATTGAGGTAGTTCATATTTCTTTTCACCTCTTTTATTTTTCATTTCATACCTTTTTTTTATAAAAAAAATTTATATTTTCTTAGTTTGACATATATTCACATGCAAATTCAACTCATGTATGCGGGACAAAAATGTTAAATGGTATTGGTGGTTCAGCAGATTTTTTGAGAAATTCCAAGCTCAGTATTATTCATACTCCGTCCACTCGACCTACGAAAAAAGATCCTATAGGTAAATATTGTAATTTAATCTATTCATGATTTAGTTTTTATAATTTAATATAATTAAAATTTTTTTTGATAATTCTGTATAGGAATTTCTTGTGTAGTACCGATGTGTTCACATATCGATCATACGTATGTATATTAATTTATTAATTAAATTCATATTATAAATATCCTCATTACTAAATTTTATAAATAATTAGTGAACACGATCTTGACATTCTTGTAACTGAACAAGGTTTGGCTGATGTTCGTGGTTTATCCCCAATTGAACGAGCGCATTTAATCATTAATAAATGTGCACATCCTGAATATAGACCAATTTTAAATGATTATTTAAATATAGCCGAAAAGGAATGTATGAATATTGGAGCTGCTCATGAACCACATATGTTGGATAAAGTGTTTAAGATGCATTCAAATGTTTTGAGCGAGAAAAATACTATGAGAATTGATAGTTGGTGAACTTGATTATTTTAATAAGTACTTATTAATTAATATAATAATTAGTATAAGCCTAAGAATAGAATATACAATTATATCGCGGCCGAAGTTAGAAACGGCCAAAACACGAAATTGGACATTTTAATATGAAAATTCTTAAAAATTTTTGGGTGCTTTTAATTTTGTTTTTATAGTTGAGGATTAAGTTCTGTTTTTATAAGATTTATAGAAGATTTTTAAATTTCGAATTGATATACAGAAAGTTAGCCTTTTCTATCTGTTTTATAAATAAAATAATAAAAATACGATCCAGAAAATAATATTAATTGAGTTTATTTCATATGTGACAAAGGAGTCGTATAAGATATACAGTGGTTGGCCATATTATTGTGGGCAATTTTTAAAAATAGATATAAAATTAAATTAATAAGATATGAGGCTAAAAATAAAACTATAAATTAATTAAATCTATATCTTTTAAATAAAAAAAAGTTTAAAAGATTCTATGCAGTATTTTTTAAGATAATTAAGACTATATAATTTTGTATAATGTTACACAGAACCGAAAATAGTAATTTTTAAAAATTAATTGTTATAATTACTATATATTAAAAGTTAATTTTT